CAAGCTCCCAAATCCCGAATTTAGCTTCCGCTGTATAAACCCTGGAGTGCAAGGGGATTTGAGATTCTGTCGATGATAAAAATCCTGCATTACCTTACGGACCCAAAACTATGGGAATTACTTTATATTCCCTATAATGGGTCATGCAGGATTTATATCATCAACCGTTACTCCTTTAACCCTGAAACCCTACACGCCTCAAGCTCGTCAAGGTTTTTGAGGCTTGGCGCCTCCCTGAGTTCCCCAAAATAGGGGACCCTAATATAGTACCAGAAAATAGTAGGATCCTTGTTACAAGGGACTGGCAGTATCATGACGGTTGTATTTCCTTTGTAAGATACCTTACTTTAAAACCTACAGTCTCTACACCCCATATCTTGTAGGTAGTGATTCGTCAGGCGGTTTGAATTAGAAGTATTCCCAGCACTAGAAACTCATAAATGCCTACAAACCCTAAACCTAAACCCTAAATGGCCCTGAATTCAAAAAGAAGACCCTCAAAGGAACCCCCTTTTCAAGTCTCTTGCTCAAAGGGTCCATGTGCCCAAACAGTATATACTTTGGCCCTAAACTAGTCCCTACGTAGGTACATTGGGGCCAATGTATATACTATTTGGGCACATGGACCCTTTGGATATAACCCTAAACCCTGAACTCTAAACCCTAAAGCCTTTGAGCTTTGGAGCACCACACTTTAATATTTTTTTTAAAGGAACCATTATGAAAAAGAAGTTTATACTTTTTTCTCCCTGGTTGCTTAAAGCCCAGACCCTATAGACCCTAAACCCCTAAAACCCTAAACCCCAAACTCCGAAAAAAAAACATAGACCCTAAAGTGGGTCTCTCTCAGGAGTCCTTGTCCGACGCTGTGACCGAGGCCACGCGGGCTCGAACGGAGGCCGGGGGCGGACTTTGTGGGGTTTAGGGTTTAGGGTTTTTGCGTGGTTTAGGGTTCAGGTTTTTATGGGGTTTAGGTTTCAGGGTGTTTATAGGGTTTAGGGTTTTATGGGGTTTAGGGGTTCATGGGATTTCATGGGGTTTAGGGTGAAAGGTTTTATGGGGTTTCATTCATGGGGTTTAGGGTTTTATGGGGTTTAGGGTTTAGGGTTTTATGGGGTTTAGGGTTTAGGGTTTCATGGGGTTTAGGGTTTAGGGTTTCATGGCGTCTAGGGTTTAGGGTTTATGGGGTTTAGGGTTTAGGGTTTTATGGGGTTTAGGGTTCAGTGTTTTATGGGGTTTGGGTTTAGGGTGTTGGGGGGTTCAGGGTTTAGGGTTCCATGGGGTTTAGGGTTTAGGGTTTGATGGGTTTGATGGGGTTTAGGGTTTTATGGTGTTCAGGGTTTAGGGTGAAGTTTTTGTTAGTGTTCCCTCGAACGGGTTCTAGATGGGTTAGAGTCTAGGGCTTGGGGGAGTTTGTGAAGCAGGGTTCAAGGGCTCACGGGTATAAGGGATCAGGGCACTCAGGGGCTTTCTAGGGGTTGGCCTTGGGGTGACGCCCTGGTTCTGGGGTGTTAGTGTTTTGCATGTTCAGGAACGAGGCCACTACCCTCTACTTTCCCCAAATACTCACCAGAACAGAATCGACCTTGAGAGCTGTCCAGGTTAGGAGCTCAGGATATGGAGTTGGCGCTAAGAGGCCTCTACGGAGGGATGATGCCTCAACGTATAAAGCAGGATCCCCAGAAGGTTTGAGGCATAATTTTCCTGGAGTCAAGGGGTTTTGGAATTGCTGAGAACCTAGCGAGTCATGCCGAAGCTATTTTGAGGGGATACCGACTTTCGCGCTGAGGCCAAGGAGTGGAATGAGCCGTGCCATCGTTGAAGGGTGCACTGGGACATGACAGTCGACTACTCTTGGGATGCAACCAACGCCGACAGCTCGAAGCCTATCCCTCTATGTCGACGAGTGTCCCTTCATCTATAAGAACACGCAAGAAGATCAGAGTACGCAAGGGTATCCGAACACGAGCATCCTGATTGGGAAGATTGTGACAGCAGATGGTCGGCATTGATTCTACGCCCCTAAGCCGTCAACCCCCAAACCCAAAACGCTTGCACGCTGACCCCTAAGCCCCAAATCCCTCAAATCCCTCAAAACCCTAAACCCTAAGCCCCTAAACCCTAAGCCCTAAACCCTAAACCCTAAGCCCCAAATCCCTCAACCCCTTGAGCCCTTCATCCCAAATCCTCGACCCTTGAGAGCCCTGAGCTCCGGAAACTCTCAACCCCTCAATCCCCTGAACCCGAAACCCACAACTAGAACCCAGAGTAGGCCCCTTTTCCCTTTTTCAGGGTTTAGGTTCCCTTCTAAACCCCCCCTTCTGAAGCCAAAAAGAGCACCCGTTGTTTTATTCCTAGGTTACTCTTGGGTCAAGACAAACTCTCGAGCCGTAAAACCCGAAAACCGAAGCAACCCTAAACCCTAAACCCTAAACCCTAAATTCCCACCCAGGCCTGCTTAGGCCGTACCCACCCTTTTTCTTAGGGTGCCTGGACCCAAGAAGGAGATCCGGCAGTGATTGACACCAACTCTGGATGGACAATGGGCGTTTTTTCCTTAAACAGCCTGCCTGGCCCCTGGCCCCCTCTGGGCCCTCTCTGGGCCCCCCCCTGGCCCCCTGGGCCCCCCCCTGACGGGTCAGGGCGAGGTGGGGGGGCCAGGCGGGGCGAGGGAGGCCAGGAGGGCCAGGGACAGAGGGGCCAGGGGGGTCCAGGGAGGGCAGGTGGGAATTGAGGGCGTAAGCGCTAAACCCTAAAAGGCAATGTTTTGGGTGGTAGCCTGTGTATTCTCACAGCGGGTGGGAAAAGGTGAGGAACCAATGTGTAATTGTTTGGTGGTGGAATCGCATTCGAACGTTAGACGTCGATATGCCGCCCCCTCACACCCCTGGGAGTGTTGGGGCGCCATCCTACACAGAAAATACTGCCGCTGCGCGGCGAGACGCCCTAAACCCTAAACCCTAAACCCTAAACCCCTAAACCCTAAACCGTCGGGGAGGTGGCAGCGCTCAGGGAGTTTGTGCAGGCGAGATTCCAGGCGACCCATTGCGTCTCCAGACAGCCCAACGGCCCCCTTAGTTAAGGAATACCTAGGGTTCCTTTAAGGGCTCCTTAAAGGGATCTATAGGGGTTCTATAAGGGTATGAAGGAAAATAGCTTAAATTATGTAGGGCTTAATATTATGATTTAAGCTATATTCCTTAAGTACGGGGTATTGGGCTCTCTGGGTCATTGAGTTTGGAGATGTGTGACTGTGCTACAGGGGCCTTAATAATTTCCAGGACTATCTTGGTGGCTCCTTCTTATAAAACAGTATAATGGGGCCCGAAACCCTATTCTAATTATTGAGGCCCCTATACTATGTAGGGGGAATCGACCCTTGATGCACGAGTAACAATGGAACCGAGTGCATGTTGAGAACTGTAGCTGTTTGAAGATGAAATCAGTCGCAGCAAATGTTTTCCATGTAAATCTGTGGAAATCGGCCCTTGGTGTGTGACTACCAATAAAATCGAGTACACGTTGGGAACTACAGGTGTTTGAGGATGCAATCAGTCGTGACAACACATGTTTTCCATGTAAGTATGTGGAGTTCGACTCTCGATGCACGAAAGCCAATAAATTCGGGTGCACCTTGAGAATTTCAGGGTTTGAGGGTGAAAAATCAGTGACAGCGCATATTTTCCATGTAAATTTGCCCTCGATGCGGCGCGAATGCCAATAAAGTCCAAAGCACGTTGGGAACGTCAGGCGTTTGGGGATGAAATCAGCGACAGCACATGTTATCCACATAAGTGTGTGGGAATCGACCCTCGGTGCAGGAATACCAATAGAACCGAGTGCATGTTGGGTATTTCAGGTGTTTGAAGAAGAAATCAGTGATGTCACGTTGACAAGTTGCTTGCCGATCTGCACCGGGGGTTTAGGGCAGTTTAGGGCTGAGGGTGGAGGGTTCAGGAAAGAGATTTCTGAGATTTCACTCCAAGAGACTGAATGAATCGAAGCCTGGGTAGCCAACAAGTAAATCAATCCCGCATCAATCGAGGCAAGGACCATACGCTTACAAAGCGCATGCCCTGCCAACTGAGCTGAAGAAGCTCTCGGATTCCGAAATCGTACATGCACATAGGGAGGTTTGCACTTGCCGGTCCATGTGCCCAGATGTCGCAGAATCACAGCATTTCTATCTTCCATGATAAATCAAGTCCGTGCGGGCGTGGGCTCGAGCCCCGCAGCTGTCGTGTTGTCTGCGCGAAACCTAGAGCCAGTGCGCCAGCACGGCTCAGCTTGCGCTTGGCTTGGCAGGGGAAGCATCTTCCTCCGGCTGCGAGCACCTAAACCCTAAACCCTAAACCCTACTGTTTCACAGCTGCGGGGGTCCGCAGGGAACCTTCGAAGTCCGGCAGATCATGGAAGTGTCCGGCAGGGAAATCCTCGAGCGATTCCACTTCCCCAAGGCGACGCGCGCCTGCCTCGCCTCCTTCGCACTGGTCGTGTGCTTGGTCGTTGCATTCACCATCCTGTCATATTTTGTCTGTGGGCAACAGGAACCCAGGCAGGCTTTGGGAGGTGTTCTACTGTCCATTTCAAGATCTTGCTTCGGACATGTGATAAGACAAACAAGGTAGAATGAATCACAATCGCCAATCTATATGTAATGTAGTAGTAATTCAGTAGAACATTCAAATATAAAGTTGCAATAACATGTTAATGGTGGCAATCTTAATATAGCCATCCGTCTAATAAGAGAATAGTGTAATAGTGTGTAATGCAACAGTATAATTTTCAATACTACGACAACATGGAAATAATGTAACAGTAACTAGAAAGTAAGTACTATGAATTAGTTTCAGTACACATGTCGACATAGCTGTACATGTTGATGTATTTACCTGCTTAAGTATGATGAGTAGTAGTAATGTAGCAACACAGTTTCCCCTAAACCCCTAAACCCTAAAGTAAAAGCCAGAAAGTTGGAATATGATTATCCTAAACCCTTTATGGTAAATTATAAGTCCAACTTTCTGGAGTTCCCTTTAATTCCAAAATCAGAAACTTTGAGTCGACCTAAGGAACTCGATCGCACAAAAGGCACTGAGCTCCACGTCGTGACCTCGTTGGAGGCCCTTCGGGGTGCGCGACTGGGTGCTTAATTTAAGTTAAGTTACCGTAATAGGGATCTATAAGGGGTCCTTGAATCCTTGAATTGATCTATAAGGGTTCCTTTAAGGGTTTTGGGTTTAAGGTTTAAGTTACCATAAGAGTGATCTATAGTAAGTGATATGGTTTCCTTTTTGGGGCAACTTAAACTCAATCCCTTAACCAGAGCCCAGGCAAGCTGACCGGGGGCTGCACTGCGATCCCGAATGTGAAGGCGCTGTGGGCAAGAAAGTTTACGTGGACGAGGTGTTCTACCAAAAGCTCCAAGTGTACTACCCTGAGAATCCACCCCCTATTGGGCCGGAGCTGTTGCTTGCGGGCAGCGCTTTCCAAGAATTGTGGTGCCCCACCGGGATGTACGACGGCTTATGGGTTTATGGCCTGCTGTTTCTCTGGATCTGCGGCCAGATGTTGGGCCCGTATCTGATCCTGCCCCGCATTGTCCGGTTGCGACTTCACGCTGAGATGCAGCGCGAGGTGGATGCTGGGCGATGCCAAATCTACCCAATGGCCTTGGCTGGAGCTACTTAGTAGCTAAACCCTAAAATTAACCTAAACCTTGAACCCGAAACCCTGAAACCTGAACCCTAAACCCAAAACCCTAAACCGAAGCCCCCAAGCCATTCTGGCTTCGGATCGAGATTTCGTATTTTGGGCATGTTTGAATAGACACTTAGTACCTGAGTGGATACACTTGACACTTTTTGGGATAATACTACCCACTATAAAACCGAAAGTGTACCCTTTTTTGGGGTCTTATGATTTCAGCAACTAAGGCTACTTGGCAGCATTTTGCCACGACAGAGTTCATCGACCACCGGAACCAAGCCTGGAAGAGCTTCCCTACTCTCGAGCTCGTGTTTTGCGTGATCGCAGTCATTGGAGTCTCTGTTGGAGCTGGCGTCTTTTTTCTTTCCTGGGTCGCTGTCCCGATTGTTTTTGTTTGTGGGCTTGTTATCCGTCTGACACACTCGATCTACGCATCTGTGCGCTTGCGCAAGCGTTTGCTTCTGGGCCGTGCTGAGCTTTTCTTCTGCGCTGCGCCAGCGGCGAATATGGTGTCCATAATTTGCGACGGCCGTGTGTTCTTCTACAAAAACATAGGCGACATTCCACAGCGACCCCCTGACGGCCTAGTGTGGTATAGCTATGAGACCATGGCCGTGGCTAGAACGCAGCTGATTGCGCGCAGCAACACCGACGACGAAAGCACGCCCAGCTGGTACTTGAACATCATCTATGGCAGCTGCTTCAGCAAATTGAGGCACAATTCTTGGAACGTCGGATCGAAGCTGTTCCCCGTGGATAACGCCTGTGTGCATGATTTCCAGAGCTGGCTTGCTGATCCAGAGAGGAGGTGGCTCTTTCGCTGTGAGGGAGCTACAGCCCGACCGCAGAGCTTCATGCAACCCACCGACGAGACTTTGCGGACGCCCTTCCACATGCCGGCCGGGGACATGCGGACGCCGCTGAGCCCGAACACTATGATGTTCACTGCAGACGTGCAGAAGGTGGACGCCTTGTACAAGGTCACGATGATTTCCATGTCAGGCGAGGAGGCAGCCAGTTTCAAGTTTACTGAGGGGCACACGCTCTCGGATGTTCTGCACCGTGTTGCCAGCAGGCGAGATTTCCGAGACCATCAGGTCAAGATCGTCCTCAGTGACGGTACGCAGCTCGGCAACATGGACCCACGCATGTCCCTTCCAGCGTTTTTCGAGAAGGCCCGAGCCAGCTGAAACTTGCTTCCAGCCAGGTCCAACCGACCGAATGAATGAAGGCATGTTTGGCGCTCCGCAAAAGTCGAATCGGCCGCAGCCGACACGTTCTTGGTTGTTTGGATTTTACGCATAAGATTCAAGAGGGTTTCGCAGAGTGAGTGTTGTGGGTTGCAGATAATCTCCCCGGGCTGGCAGGGGTAGGTAATAGGTCCCAGGCCTAGAGGAAGAATACTCACCCAAGCGTTGGGCTTTGGCGTTCTGTCAGACGCTTCGGCTCAACCATGTCCTTGCAAGGTCTAGGATCCAGAGATATCCAGAGAGTCTCCGTGAATGTCAGTCCACAGGAATTTGTCCCGGCCCCTGTTTGTGTTTTGCGGCTAGCTCATCGTGCCCGGCCGAAACAAAACAGAGCTTTTGTACGCCTGCATACTTGCGTGTGGGTCTCTGTGTGGTCTTTCCCTCCAGGAACTACAGACTATCGAGAAGTGTTCAGCTTTCCTTCAAATTAAAACGCACTTCATGTACAGAACCAAGGAAGGCACAGGCATTGTGAGGTTACGGGTTGCACAAGGCTGTCTTAAGATCACCCTGCCCGGATGACAGTAGGTAGGTAGGTAGGTAGGGTTCGACCTGCAGCAGCAGCCGCGGCCTCCACCACTCTTCCCCGCCCAGCATCTCGGGGGGCCTCCGCAAGCGTCATCGGCCCCCTCCGCGGGAGGTTCCAGAGGGGGCTTGAACTAGAGTCTGGACTATAAGTGGAAACGAAGGCCGAGACCGGCACGGACTGGTCCCGAAAGAAATGGGGAGCCTGAAACCCGCCGGAAGTGGCCCAAGTCTGGGTTATCAGCCTGGAAAGGGGGGTTTGGGCCAGAAGAGGGGGGGGCGACGCAAAGTGGGTAACTGGAGAAGGGGAAGGACGATGCACTCGCGGACGCGTAGAGGCGGGGGGCCCAGCTGAGCCGGTCTGGAACGACGTGAGGAGCGATGCGTACTGCGACAGAAAGAAGCGGAGCTACTGCCGTGCGCGGGTCGTTTACCCAGATCTGGGAGCTAGAAGCCGGTCTGGAACGACTTGGGGAGCGCTGTGTGGTGGACGCGATGGAAGAAGCGGAGCTACGGCCGGGATTTAACAAACCGGGGAGAGAGGGGGGTCTGGGACGACATGAGGGGCGCTGCTTGGTGGACGAAATGGAAAGAGGCGGAACTACGGCCTTACACGGGTCGTTTACCAAGACCCGCCACCTCGGGGTGGGAAGGGGGGTCTGGAACGACAGGTGGCCGAAATGGAATGAAGTGGAGCTACGGCCTGACGCAGGTCGTTGACTAAGACCCGCCACCTCGGGGTGGGAAGGGGGGTCTGGGACGACATGAGGGGCGCTGCTTGGTGGACGAAATGGATTGAGGCGGAACTACGGCCTTACACGGGTCGTTTACCAAGACCCGCCACCTCGGGGTGGGAAGGGGGGTCTGGAACGACAGGTGGCCGAAATGGAATGAAGTGGAGCTACGGCCTGACGCAGGTCGTTTACCAAGACTAAGACCCGCCACCTCGGGGTGGGAAGGGGGGTCTGGAACGACATGAGGAGCTGCGTGGTGGACGAAATGGAAAGACGCGGAGCTACGGCCTAACGCGGGTCGTTTACAAAGACCCGCCACCTCTGGGTGAGAAGAGGGGTCTGGAACGACAAGAGGAGCTGCATGGTGGCCGAAATGGAAAGAATCGGAACTACGGCCATACGCGGGTCGTTTACCAAGACCCGCCACCTCGGGGTGGGAAGGGGCGTCTGTGGAACGACATGATGAGCTGCGTGGTGGACGAAATGGAAAGAAGCGGAACTACGGCCATACGCGGCTCGTTTACCAAGACCCGCCACCTCGTGGGGTGGGAAGGGGGGTCTGGAACGACAAGAGGAGCTGCATGGTAGACGAAATGGAAAGAAGCGGAGCTACGGCCTTATACGCGGGTCGTTTACCAAGACCCGCCACCTCGGGGTGAGAAGAGGGGTCTGGAACGACATGAAGAGCTGCTTGGTGGAGGAAACGGAAAGAAGCGGAGCTACGGCCACACGCGGGTCGTTTACCAAGACCCGCCACCTCGTGGGGTGGGAAGGTGTGTCTGGAACGACAAGAGGAGCTGCGTGGTGGACAAGATGGAAAGAAGAGGAGCTATACGGCCTGACGAGGGTCGTTTACCAAGACCCGGCACCTCGGGGTGGGAAGGGGGGCCTGGAACGACGTAGGAGCTGCGTGGTGGACGAAATGGAAAGAAGCGGAACTACGGCCATACGCGGGTCGTTTACCAAGACCCGCCACCTCGGGGTGGGAAGGGGCGTCTGGAACGACATGAGGAAGCGGAACGACGTCCATACGCAGGTCGTTTACCCAGATCCCCGATGTCGAAGCGAGCGGGGTCTGGAACGACAGGGGGAGTCCTTCACTATCCGCTCTCAAAGAGCGCTAACACACGTCGAGGAAGAGGAGACAACGCTAGGAAACCTACAGAAGTCGGTTACCCAGAACCCTGTGTGTGACTGGAGGAGATGACTTGGTAGGCACGCGTCGAGGAGGTGCCGAACCTAAGGGGCCTGTTACTAAAGAATCGGATGCCCAGACTCCCAGGAACGGCGAGAGGGGCCGACTGGGATGACACAGGATTCTACTCGAGGGAGTGGATGCGAAGGTGAGATAACGCAAACAGTCGTCGAGGAAGTGGAGGCGAACCTAAGTAACCTACAGAGGTCGGTTGACCAGACCCCCGTGAGTCGGCGCGAGGGGGAGTGGGCTGCGCATGATCATGTCAGGGAGCAGCGGTGATGAGTCTTATACGGCCAAGGTGAGCGGTGAAGTTGTCCAGTGTAGGGTCCATGCTTGTGAGCAATGAGCCACACGTCCAACACGTGGAGCGCGGAGAAGTGCCTGCGAAGCTCAGGTCGCAGCTGAAGTTGCGCAGTGAGGGAGGAAGGCCATCCGGTAGGCAATCGAGGCGGTCAACGAATGCCCTTGCGACCAGCAGGTGATCATGTCCGCCAGCTCGGTGGTGATGCGAGGGAAGAGAGGCATACCGGATTGCGACAAAGGAGCGAAAGGCAGAATGAATACACGCAAGTAGGTAGACACTACATGTGAGCGCATGGCGGAAACTAGGGAGGCGGTTGAACGGATGGATGAGCGCGGACTGGCAAGAAGATGGGCGAGGAGGCCTGGAATTTAAGGAGCCAATGGAGGGGGCACTGTCACCCCGCCGCAGCTGACGATACAAGGTGTGGGTGCTCATCGGGCCTGGAAGGCAGCCCTTAGTGCCGCCCCGGGGGTCCACACACGTTAAGAGGAGGGGAATCGTCAGAAGGCTGCGACGGGCCCCGGGGGGATGACAGTCTTTTCGCTGGTGTACTTCGCCTTTCATGTATCATGCCATGCCCTACATGCAGCCTTGGTCCTGAGTTTGCATCTTCCGCTCTTCTTCAACAGCGGAAATGCAAGTAGTCAACTTAAGCAAGAGAGGGATCAATACTGGTTGTACAGTACTATGGTTCTACCATAACTTGCCGTAAGCCCTGTTCTACTTGTTAACCCCCGTTCCTAAGATCTTGCTCTATCAAGCGAAACCCATGCACCGGCCCGAACTGGGTACCGATAAAACTTCTTTCGAACACTATGCCAGGATGCCCGGTAGTACCCTTATTCCCTTTTTGTGGTCCTTGGTTCCTTATAAAGTTACCTAATACCAAAAAGGGAGTTTTTTTCATTCCTGGGTTACTGGGCATCCTAGTATGAATCCTATAAAGCCCCACTCAGAACCAAAAGCAAGCGGAAGCAACATGCATTTATTAAGCCTTGCGTAATGCCCCTGACACCCCGACACTCCCAAGAAATACAACGCTAACACCTCCAATGCGGGACCCTACCACCCCAACCGAAGCCCTCAAAATCAACCGTCATTCTGCCTAACCCTGCAAAGAGAGGTCCCCCTAAACCCTAAACCCAGCCCGAACCCTAAACTAAACTAAGCCCCCAAAGAGAGGTCAGCCCTAAACCCTAAACGCTACCCCCCCCCCTCAAAAAAATAAATTAACAACCCCCCACCTCACCAAAAAAAATAACCCCCCCCCCCACCCAACAAAAAAAAGAGGTCAGCTCCAAGCAGCCGTGGCCCCTCAGTCGCGCTGGCAGCCTCCAGAGTTCTCCACGCAGGGCCTCGCCTTCGGCGACCTGTGAGGCAGATTTTAGGGTTCTTTTAAAGGGTTCCTTTAAAGGGCTGCTTTAAAGGGCTCCTTTAATGGTAGTAAGATCTTTAATATGATTTAAGGCATATTCCTTAATTGAGGGATATTGGAGTCGGGCACTCTAAACCCTATAGATCCCTTATAGATCCCTTAAAGGAACCTTGTAGATCTCTTATATGTATAGAACCGTTAAAGATGCCTTCAAGGAGCCCCAAACCCCTGTATAGAACCATCATAGATCCCTTTTTTGGAGCCCTTTAAAGGAACCTTGTAGATCCCTTAAAAGGAACCTTATATATATGTATAGAACCGTTATAGATGCCTTCAAGGAGCCCTTTAAAGGGACCCTAGATCTGAAGCCCAAAATCGCGTTTAGGCGAGCGCCCCGGCGGCGCTGCCCAGTCCGGACCAGCGGAGCGGCGGCAACCTGGAGGGTCGCCTTTGCAAGCTGGAGGCACCTCCTTTAAAGGGATCCTTAAAGGGATCCATAAGAGTTCCATAAAGGGTTAAGGGCTGGAGGCACCCTTGGGGGGCCTTCGGGTTCCTCAATTTGGGTTCTTCCTTTTGGGTTTACGGTTTAGGGTTTGGGAGTTTCCTTTTAAGGGTTCTATGAAGGGTTTAGGGCTTAGCTGAGCTGGAGGCACCCTTGGGGTCCTATAAGGGTTCCTATAAAGGTTCAAGAAGTGGTTTACGAGTTTCCTTTAAGGGTTCTTCCATTTAAGGGTTCCTAGAATTCGAAGGGTTCTATAAAGGGTTTAGGGTTTAGCTGGAGGCACCCTTGGGGGTTTTCTTGGG